GTCTAAAGCTTTAATGTTTCATACCACCATAGAACAGAGGTTTCATAGTTCACACCGCCATAGAACAGAAGTTTAGTAGTTTATGCCACCATAGAACGGAGGTTTAGGAGTTAATGCCACCATAGAACGGAGGTTTAGGAGTTAATGCCACCATAGAACAGAAGTTTAGTAGTTCATGCCACCATAGAACAGAAGTTTAGTAGTTTATGCCACCATAGAACAGAAGTTTAGTAGTTTATACCACCATAGAACAGAGGTTTAGGAGTTCATGCCACCATAGAACACAGGCTTAATAGTTTATGCCACCATGGAACAGAGGTTTAGTAGTTTATGCCACCATAGAACACAGGTTTAATAGTTCACACCGCCATAGAACAGAAGTTTAGTAGTTTATGCCACCATAGAACACAGGTTCCATAGTTTGCACTATCATAGAATAGATACAAGTTTAATCTATATATATATATTTTATTGTTTGTGTTATGGTTGAATTTACTTCATCATAGAAAAGTTGAACCTGGATAGAGAGAATTCCTAGGATTTAACCAGATCGAATCAGGCTTAGCTGAACCAAGTCAATACACAGTAATCGGAGAAACTTATTATGTCACGCTAGAACAGGAAGAGAGAAAAGCATTGTTTTGAGCACCCCTCTTAACCTGCCCCCCTATCCCCCTTCCACCTCTACTCCACCTCTACACTCCCCCCCCCTGCATATTTCTGGCAAACCAACGGTTTGAATAACGAGCATATAACAAGTACCTAGTCATTTCCAAATATACAATGTACCCAGAGAAACCAATCCTTCAAGAATCCAAAAACCATTAAAGAATGAAAACCATTTTCTCGGTTGGTGTAAAAACCACATTCCGGAGTTCTTGAATTAAATCTTTTAAATGAAAACTTTTAATCTTGTCAATTCACTTTTCTGCTTTCTTTAATCTTCACTACTTCTCCCTAAACCTTACTCCTCCTCTTTTACTACACTTTACTCCGCTACTCTTCTACTGAATCTTACACCTCTCCTTTTCTACTGAACCTTACACCTCTCCTTTTCTACTAAACCTTACTCCTATTCTCTTCTACTGAACCTTACATCTATTCTTTTCTACTAAACCTTACTCCTCTTCTCTTCTACTAAACCTTACTCCTCTACTCTTCTACTGAACATCTATCCTTTTCTACTAAACCTTACTCCTCTTCTCTTCTACTAAACCTTACTCCTCTTCTCTTCTACTAAACCTTACTCCTCTACTCTTCTACTGAACATCTATCCTTTTCTTCTAAACCTTACTCCTCTTCTCTTCTACAAAACCTTATTTCTCTACTCTTCTATTAAACCTTACTCCTCTTCTCTTCTACAAAACCTTATTTCTCTACTCTGCTACTGAACCTTTCTCCTCTTTTCTTCTACAAAATCTTTCTTCTCTACTCTTCTACTGAACCTTACATCTCTCCTTTTCTACTAAACCTTACTCCTCTTCTCTTCTACTAAACCTTACTCCTCTACTCTTCTACTGAACCTTAAATCTATCCTTTTCTACTAAACTTTACTCCTCTCCTCTTCTACAAAACCTTATTTCTCTACTCTTCTACTAAACCTTACTCCTCTTCTCTTCTACTAAACGTTATTTCTCTACTCTTCTACTGAACCTTACTCTTCTCTTCTACAAAACCTTTCTTTTCTACTCTTCTACTGAACCTTACATCTCTCCTTTTCTACTAATCCTTACTTCCCTTCTCTTCTTCTAAACCTTACTTATTTACTCTTCTACTAAACCTTACTTCTTTCCTCTTCTACTAAGCCTTACTCCTCTACTCTTCTACTAAACCTTACTTCTATCCTTTTCTACTAAACCTAACTCCTCTACTCTTCTACTAAGCCTTATTCCTCTCCTCTTCTACTAAACCCAACTCCTCTCCTCTTCTACTAAGCCTTACTCCTTTCATCTTATATAAAACCTTACTCCTCTCCTCCTCCTACACTCGATTAAACATTACTCCGTTCACTAAACCTACCTTGACTCCAGGTGTCCAATAAACCAAGCTCAATTGTCCTAGCCCTAACCTAACCCTCTCTACTGTCTGTAGACTAATTTTCATCAAATCAAAACAAATTAAATGAACAATAAACCATTCTCAGCAGGCCCTCACCCCCCTCTCCTCCCCCCAACCCTCCAATTACTTTCTGTGATTTAAGGAGCCCATGGTGTAGTGTGAATTTTTTCGATATTTTTAAAGATTAAAGAGTTCATATAGCCATTGAGATACTTGTTGCACCTTTTCTCTCAGATCTATCACTGCCCCTCCTTTTCTGCATTAACCCCCCCCCCCCTCCGACTCACAGACCTAAACCATTCTCTTACCTAATCTCCATTCACTTGGCAATAATTAGCAGTAAGAGTCCTATTGTTATATAGTTACAAACCTTATACTTCATATAGTAGTATACACAAATACTAGACATTGTCTTTCAGATCAACTTTCTCTTCAACTGTATTTACGTTCTGTCAATGTTTTTCGACAAGGTTTTTCATAAATGTGTATTTTATGCGTCAATTTCTTACAAATAATAAGACAAAGATATCTTATATTAAAGGAATTGAGTCTCAATCACAAAGCTTGATTTTCTAATCCCTATATTTTTGCGACCAGGGGGGGATGATAGTTTCCTACCTGTGTGCTCAGTTAGTTGTGCTACACACATACAAATGTTTACTTCTAATGAAATACCTTAGATAATTCAAACTATGAATTCTGTTAGATCAAATAATCTAAGTTTTAAATATTAAAGGTTTACACCATCAGATTGCAAAAATGGGTTAGAAAATTTGAGTTTGTGGCAGAGCCTCAATTCCTTAGCAATAAACAACCTATCCTGTATCAATTTCAGCAGTAATACTGATCAAGAAGAAGAGGCTTTTAAAAAATAAGATGTTATGAATTTCTTGTATGTAATACAAAAATTTGCTTCTCTTATACTTGAGCGTAAAATGAAAACTAGAGGAGCTACAAGATCACAAAGTCGTGACCTTCTCCGTCTGTCTAATGGAGTGCAGTGAATAAACTTAAGCTTTATATAAACATGTGCTTTGTAGCTTTAAAGTCTTTATATATATTTTGGGTTACAAAAAAAATTATAGAAACCAAATTTAAGATCGGTCCGATCCGTTCTCAAAAAACTAATTATTTTCATGACAATGTAGATCTCCATGTAATTGTACGAGCTTGTTCACTGCCGGAAGATAATTATTTCAGGTTTGTAATCTGTCTGTACACTGTCTACTGTCTAGTCCAACCTTGTCTAGTTTGTCTAATGTTGATTATGTTTATTCAATATTTAGTCGGTTATATATATACTACATAGTTATAAAAACCAGTGTCCAACTTGTTGAAATCTCGATCATGATTGTTTTAGTTTAGGAGAAAATAAAGGAACTCATTTCTCGTAGCAAACTCTATATTTGACTTTTTCACAAAGGAATTGAGTTTTTGCCACAAACTCTGATTTTCTAATCTCTATATTTGTAACCCAATGTCGTAGACCTTAGATATTTCAAACTATTAATACTTATAGATAAAATAATCTAAGTTTGAAATATCAAAGGTTTGCACTATCAGGTTGCAAAGATATTGGGATCAGAAGATTTGAGTTTGTGGCAAAAACTCAATTCCAAATTTTCTGTTCCCATATATTATCTATTCATATATACTTTTTCCTCCTCTATTATATATATACATCATCATGACACTTATTGCTAAAATGTCGTTTTCATATTCCATTCTTATCTAGTTTTTAAATTATGTATTTTTTTCGTATATACTTTTCTTTAACATTTTACTTTCCTCTAAAATATATTTTTGTTTCCTTTATGTTTTACTTTCCTGTATATTTTACTTTCCTGTATCTTTAACTTTCATGTATATTTTACTTTCCTGTATCTTTTACTTTCCTCTATCTTTTACTTTCCCGTATCTTTTACTTTCCTTATAGAATTTCTAACTATTTTCTCGTTTTCGACTTAATTAATCCTCTCAAAAAAACCTGAATATATATACCATTTAAGGTTACACAAAACCTAACACCCTAAGAAGAATAACAAGAAATATTATATCGAACTATTAGGATTTTTGCAGACTATAAGCGGAAAACAGGGATAAGCCGGAGCCACTTACTGGCAAACAAGGACAGAGGGACTTCGATCAGAGAGATGGATTATGGACAGATGAAATATAGTCAAGCACTGCTAGGAACTACTTGCTACTTGCTCAGATTAAGGGACTATATAGTGGAAAAATATGCCTAGTGGATGAATTTCAAAAAACTGATGTAGACTGCAATAGGGGACTTTATATACATAGTCAATATGACTAAGCCAGGGACTAACAGACACTAAAAAATACATGAAAAGACACTAGAAGAACAGAATATTTTGCGCTTCTCGCACATGTTTAATTAATTTACTTATTTCGTTCTTTTAAAGCTGTTGAAAGTATATTTTTTTAAACACAAGAACATGCCATGGATATTTTAAGAATTTGGTATATTATTGAGCATAGAGCCAACCAACAATTAAAAAATCTGTTGTTTTACTTCAAATCCTAAAAACAGCGTTTTATTTGATTTTTATTTTGACAGGGGGGCTCTAGCCACTCCGTACTGGCCACCCAGCCCCTCAAAATCAAATTTTGCCCCCCCCCCCTCACAAAAGTGATAGTTGCTCCACTGTATATATTATATATTTTATATACCGAGAGAGGTAGATGTATAAATACATAAGTTTGATATTGAAGGTTATACCCAATACTCAGTCTGTAGATGGAGTCCTAAAATCCCGACCTTTTTCATCAATCATCATAAGAGTAATGGCGGATTGCAGCTGATGAGCTATGTTGGTGGACCCTGACGGAGAAAGTAATCAGATTTAAATTATCATTTCCTCTAATCACCGGCAGATGGCAATTCATCAACACATTCACAAAACAATGAAGCAATTTCGTAGCAAATCAAAATTTTATTTAGGTTTTGATTAAAGTTTTTACAAGAAAAATTTTACAAACAAATGCATTATTTTCAATCTTGGATTTTCTTGTTTAACTGTTCTTCTGTTGAAGAGCAATGGTGACAGTCTTAACTTCTGTATACGCTTCTAATCCATACTCTCCCAGCTCCCGTCCAATTCCAGACATCTAAATCATTAAGATTAAGAGACTGTACACGTATTGTCAAGTTACTCTTGACATTTATAGCGTGGCATGTCTAATTCACAACGTAACGTCTGAATGCTTTGACTGATCAAGAGTGAGTTAGATATCCATTTATTTCAATTTGACATTTGTGGTTTCACAATATAAAGGAATTTTTCTGCTGTGGAAACAATGGAAGAAATTAAACACTTTTCAGGCTAAAAAAAACGACAATATCTTCCACATTATTGAAGGTTTTAAGAGTGCAATTGTGCAGAGATGGCTATAATTTTTGATGAAGAATGAAAAATTTCAAAATGAACTAACGTTCGCATTTCTTTTCAGTCACGCCGTAAACGTCGATTAGAAAATTAAAAATTGTTTAAACCTTATATCCTCCGAATGGAGCTTGGGCTTCCAGGACATCATAGCAGTTGACCCATACAGTTCCAGCCCTAAATACAGAGAGACTTATTGGCTTCATGTTAAAAAAATCATCTTCAATTTGATTTTGATAGGAGAACTTGTAGAAAAATGGGACGAATCTCAGCTATTTTTCTTGCAGGTTATGTACGTAAAACTCTAGATATCTTAAGGTTTCAGATTTTGACTTGATTATCTTTAATGTTCAGAAAAAAAATTAATATATTTCTATTATTGGTTCACAGTCGTCATACTTAACATAACATTTCAGAAATACCATACAGTTGTTATTCATTAATACCCAGCAATGATATAGAATATAGAATATAATTATAGAAGAAGATATGATGATTAACCCAGGTATAAGGTTACACATGATTGTATCTCACGTCAAATTAGAGGTCGTGGTAAAAAATCCGTGATGCCTAATTCTAGAGCCCATTTTATTTGCTGCTATATATTTTTTCGTTTGAGTATTTTTTTCAAATTTTAAGCCCAGAAAATTATACTATTTTCGACGGATTTTGAAAAAAGGTAAAAACATGAATAAAATAATATTCTAATATACAGACAGGGTTTACTTCGTTGTAGTTAGTTTAACGTGATTTGAATTATTGTACCTGAGTGAGTTTGATATAAAGGTTGCATTATCCAGGTTCCTTGTAAACACTGCAGCAGCTAGTCCATACGAGTTCCTAGAATTTAGAAATCAGGATCAGTCATTAATATGAAAGATCTCATCTTAATTTAAAATTCAACAAATACCAGAGCTGGAAACTTTTGAATTGTGAAGATCGGGATTAATGCTTGATCCACTCTTTTTTTTAATCTCAAGATTAAATAATGCTTATTTTCATTTTGTTATTAATCTCCAGATTAATTAACTGATCGGGATTAAGGATATCCCATTAAAAAGTTTTCAGCTCTGATTACATTTGTTTCTAAACTCATATTTTTCACCTGTTTTCTTCAAGGGCAAATTTTGAGTATCAAAGCCTGTAGGGTAAAAAAGTTCATTTTTACCCTTGCAAATTTTAAAAATTATACTGAAAAATGCAAACCATTGAGTTAAAATCAATCAGGTTTAATGATATTACCTGTTGGCTCGATCAATAACTTCATCCACAGTTTTGAACTTCTGAATGACTTGAACAGGTCCAAAGATCTCTTCTTTACAGATTGTCATGTCATCAGTTACATCACTGAACAGTAAAATACAATTAAAGGGACTGTACAGGCATAATTTCAAGTGACTCTCCGTTTATAGAGTGGAATGTCTGATTAACAACTCTATCCCTCAAAGCGTTGTCTGTTCAGTTTACAATGTTAAAAACTGATTATTTTCAATTTTGGTTTCTTTACAAAAGTGACTCGCGCATTTCTGCTGCAGAAAACAATGAAGGAATTTTTATGATTAAATCCTTTTCACGTTAGAAAAATTACGTTATCGTCCACATTATCATATTATATCATAAAGGTTCCAAGGGTATCTTTGTGAGTCGGCTATGGCTCTCTTGCAATAGAGGGTCACTTGATAATATTACAGTTCCTTTAAGCAGTTTTATTTCTAACCAAAATCCAGCTGACCTGAATACGGTAGGTTGGACAAAGTAACCTTTATCACCCCAACTGGATCCACCGGCCCTCAGAGTCGCTCCCTCAGCTATCCCTGTCTTGATGTATCCTAGAACCTTCTTATGTTGAAGCTCATCAACCTGAGGTCCTTGCTCTATACCGGCCTGGAACGGGTTCCCAACCTGGATATATTAGGTTCAAAGTTTTCTTATTATATAAGAAGACCTATCAGACAGTGACCCAAAGGTTGCAAGCTCTCAAAAGAAAAAATGATGAGAATTTCAAAAATCAGTCCTAAAAAACTAAAGATGAAAAATTGCTTCAGAGATCTTTTAAAATGTCCATGTTCATGTGACCACAAAAAAGTATAAATGAGTTAGTGAGGCATTGTGACACTTCAAAGTCGACCAGGTCTTGAAAATTTATGCAATTTTTCATAGCAGTCTGGATCTAAGTAAGCAGGGTGTCTCAATTTCATTGTATTAATTTTAGCTATACTAGCATATTCTACTGGTCTTGCATGATGGTTTTATTCACAAACATATCATTTATTTCATTATTTATCAACCCCCTCCTCCTACATGACTTACTTACTCATCTCAACGAATATATCAAAGATGCCCTATATAGCTCTTGAACAACAATATCCTACGTGACCTAGTGGGGACCTCTCTGGCTAGCTTTCCAAAAATGCTCCTACTGGATCTTAAGTCTTAGATAATGACCTAGCTGTCGATTTAGCCGCAAACCTATCGTAGATTAAAATTCTTGACTAATGGTCCCTCGAAAAATTTTTCATGTGCATACTTTCGTGTTAGACCAAGCATTATTTGCAAAGGAAATGAGATCTACTCTGATTTCATAATCCCTTTATCTTTGCAACCCTATGTTGAATAGACTTATGATATTTCAAACAAACTATAAATTCTGTTAGGTCAAATTGTCTTAGTTTGTAATATCTAAAGATGTACACCATCAGGTGCAAGATAAAAGAATTATAAAACTTGAGTTTATCGCAAGAACTCAGTTTCTTTATCGTAGATTTACAGTTTGTATATACAACTAACCTTCCTAGCCAGTGCTCTAGCTGTCGCTTTCTCCACAAATGTATCGTATATTCCCTCCTGGACCATGAGCCTGGACCCAGCACAGCAGCATTGTCCCTGGTTGAAGAAAAGGGCAAAATGAGCCAATTCTACAGCCTAGGTCACCCAACCATCAATGTTTTAAGTTTAACAAAGGAATTGAGTCTTTGCCACAAACTCTGAATTTCTAATCACTATATCTTTGGAACCAAATGTTGCATACCTTAGATATTTCAAACTATGAATTCTGTTAGATCTACTAATCTGAGTTTGAAATATCAAAGGTTTACAACATCGAGTTATAAAGATATTGTGGTTTAAATATTTGATTTTGTTCCAAAGACTCAATTCCTTTAAGCAGATTTAAAAAAAATGGTTTTAACTTATACAAATTGTGTGCATGAATGTAATATCATGCAGTAGAGATTTTGATAATTTAAAGACATTCAAGACATCACAGACGTACGCACAGCCATCTCTCATGTAGATTAAGAAAAATCATAAAGCAAAGATTTAATCCACTTCCAAATATTTAAAAATTAATAACTTCTATCTTTAAAGCGACTGTTAAGATATTTTTGTATTGATGTAGGAACCGATTTCGTGCAAGTTTGAAACCAAATATTACTTTATACGTTTCAAGCTACACGGAAATGAAAATTAAATATCGGATAACTTGAATCCACTAATCAAAAATTGGTGCCTCCAACATTACTAAAATATCTGAACAATCCATTTTTTGGTTAAAAAATATATGGTTTGGATAATTTCCTTGTCAAGATCAGCATCATCTAGAACTATGAGAGGACTCTTCCCACCCAGCTCCAGGGTCACACGTTTCAGGTTGGAGGAACCTTAACAACATTAAACCAAGATTTAGAACAGATTTTTAATAACTATTGTTCTCTTCATTACAGGGAGGCAGTAGGGATGCAATAAATAAAGGAGGGAATTTTACATTGCTGAAGCTTCCTAAGACCATGCTGGGTCCTTATGGATCACGATAATAGCGAGGGATGCGTTTGAATCCATCAAAATCAATCTTTTTAAGGTTACAAAAACTGTAAACTCATATTTTTGAGTTCAGAAATAAAATCTAATTCATACTAACGGAGTTGTAAACCCGAAAATCCCTAGGGTTGCAATCGAACATTGCGACCCTAGTTTGAGGGTTGCAATGTAAAAATCAGGGATTCAATAGTCTCTTAATTTTGTTCAAAAGTTGTAAAAAATATTGTCTTAAGATTCGGAGTACATTAAAGAAAAATCGTTTCCCTTCTGAGAGAAAGCAAAACACTAAAAGATTTATTTGGTTAACATTAACTATCAGTGTTGACTAATTACAAAGTATACATTACTATGAGACGATCTTTCAAAGGGACTGTAAGGAGTAGTTTCCGGATACCCTATATACATGAAGATGACAACATGAACATTTTACAACGGTACCCATTCAAGCTTTGTCTGGACAAGTAATATTCAGAAATACATGTTGAAAATGTTGAAAACTGATTATTTTCAATTATGGTTTCTCAACAAAAGTTAACTGCACATTTCTACTGCAGGAAACAAATATAAATTATCAGAATTAAGCAATTCAAAGTTAAAAGAACGACATTAATAGTCAGAGAAAGGTTTCAAGGGTACCGTTGTGATTCGGGTATTGCAATTTTTACATTGAGGGTCACTTGAAATAATTCAAACAGTTTCTTTAAAGGAGACAATGTATTCTGTAAAATTGGAATTTATAGTTTAAATCCATAATTTTCCTCATCTACAAATGTTTATGTGGTTTAAGATGAAAACTTACCAGCAGCGTTCTGGATAATATGCCCAACCTCAGTTGACCCAGTAAACGCTACCTGAGCAAATGAAAATATTAAAAAATGCAAAAAAAAAAAAATTAAATGTTTAATCGAAATAGCAAGGATTCTTTTTTTGTTTAGCTTAGATTATATAACATTTTAAACGAAAACTGTACATGCAGGCCCAATTTTTTTTTTCGTTTGTTCTAAAACTTAAGAAGATAAAACATTAAAAAACATGTATTTCAACAACGCAATTTTTGTTATAATATAGATTCTTTGAAAAATTAATTATTTTTTATGACACCTTGTCTACATCCATATGCTCTGAGATTGCTGCTCCTGCAGTTGGACCGAATCCAGGTACTACATTGACCACGCCTGGGGGGAACCCTGCTTCCTAAATATTTCATAGTTTGTTAAATGTTATTTATTCTTAAGAAATTTATTTTTTAAATTTTATGGGAATACACAAACAGAATTAGGAAAATTAGTTTTCAAATCATAAAGATTGTAGATACATATTTTCATTTCTTTTAATCTTAATCTTAAGAATACATATTAATCAAAATTTAAGTCAAAGTGCAGACATAAAATCTAGATTTATCTTAATCAAAGAGCAAACATGAATTCCAGTTTTACCCTGATCAAAGAGCAAACATAAAGTCCAGTTTTACCTTAATCAAAGAGCAAACACAAAGTCAAGTTTTTCCTTAATCAAAGAGCAAACATAAAGTCCAGTTTTACCTTAATCAAAGAGCAAACATAAATTCCAGTTTTACCTTAATCAAATATCAAGCATAAAGTCCCGTTTTACTTTAATCAAAGAGCAAACATAAAGTCCAGTTTAACCTTAATCAAATAGCAAACATAAAGTTCAGTTTTACCTTAATCAAATAGCAGACATTAAGTCCAGTTTTACCTTAATCAAAGAGCAAAACATAAAGTCCAGTTTTACCTTAATCAAAGAGCAAACACAAAGTCCCGTTTTACCTTAATCAAAAAGCAAACATAAAGTCCAGTTTTACCTTGATCAAAGAACAAACATAAAGTCCAGTAAGAGGAGTCTGCTCCGCAAGTTTCATGACAACAACATTTCCAGTTGCTAGAGCAGGACCAAGCTTCCAAGCCTAGAAATCATTTTCAAAATATTTAATTCTATGTTTTTGTAAGTAGAATATAGTTCGGTAGACAATAGTTAAAGGTTGGGATAGGGTGGACTAAAGTATAATAAGATGAGTAGGGTTGACTGAAGTATATATAGAATAAGCAGAGTGGACTGAAGTATATATAGGATAAGCAGAGTGTGGACTAGAGTATATACATATACGTAGGATGAGTAGGGTGGACTGAAGTATATATAGGATGAGTAGGGTGGACTTAAGTATATATAAGATGAGTAGTATGGACTGAAGTATAATAGAATAACTGAGGTATGGGTAGGATGAGTAGGGTGGACTTAAGTTTATATAAGATGAGTAGGATGGACTGAATTATAATAGAATAACTGAGGTATATGAAGGATGAGTAGGGTGGACTGAAGTATATGGAGGATGAGTAGGGTGGAATGAAGTATATGTAGGATGATTAGGGTAGACTGAAGTATATGTAGGATGATTAGGGGGGTCTGAAGTATATGTAGGATGATTAGGGTGGACTGAAGTATATGTAGGATGATTAGGGTGGTCTGAAGTATATGTAGGATGATTAGGGTGGACTGAAGTATATGTAGGTTGATTAGGGTGGACTGAAACGATGGTTTTGACCTGCATAAGAAGAGGAAAGTTCCAAGGAATGATCTGACCACAGACTCCAATAGGTTCGTGTCTAGTGTAGCAGAGAACTGATCCGTCCATAGGTATAGTCTTACCATGGGTCTTATCCGCCCAACCAGCATAGTACCTAGGTATCATTATTATTGCTGTTATCATTATTATCATTGTCATTATTCTTAAGATTATGATCAATATTATTGCCATTATCATCAGTATTATTATTATTTTTATCATTATTATTATTATTATTAATATTATTATTATTATTATTATTATTATTATTATTATTATTATTATTATTATTATTATTATTATTACTATTATCATTATTAATATTATCATTATTTTCATCATTATTATTAATCTTATCATCATCATATTATTATTCCTTTTTTAAATTCCTCTATACCTGTAACACTTTATTACTAATCCCAGATCTATATTAAAAGCATCCAGGTATGGTTTTCCATTATCCAATGACTCGAGGGAGGCGAGGTACTCCCTGTTCCTCTCTATGAGGTCTGCCAGCCTGTAGAGCAGATGTCCACGCTGGGACGCATCCATAGTTCTCCAGGTACTACCGAGCTTAAATGCCTCCCTTAATAATTAAATTTATTATAAAACAATTAAGTTAGATTGTGATTCTTTTGTGATTGTGGAGGTTTGGACAAATTTAACTTCTAATTAATAAATTATCTAAACCCAGTTTTAAAAGTTTGATAAGATGTTACAAACCACCCATGACCTATTTGGTTCAGCTGTGTTAATAATGCGAGAATTCAGAGAATATTGTGTAAATTTTATTTTGTAAAATGTCTTATTCTAGTTTCCCATCGTTCTATTTTTGATATTATCTATCTATATAATAAAACAAGACATTCGTATATATGTACCATATAGACGGCCAAACGGCTGGACCGATTTGGCTCACATTTTTTGAGGTAACCCATGGATACCCTGGGAGTAGAATAGGCTAAAAAATTAAAAAATTTTAAAAGTTTATATTAAATTTTTTTTTATTCCACGGGCAACGCCGGGCACTTTAATTAAGTTTCAGATCAAGGTTATTATTTTAGTTCACGTTCGTCTTTAAAGCCTCATTTTTTTTGTTAATTCTGTTTAAAGATGTTTACCTGGCGGCTTGAACTGCCTTGTTGACATCTGCTTTGTCCCCCTCCTGGACCTGGGCAATCTCCTCGCCTGATTTGGAAATTTTTTTATATATATTTTTTTTAAATTTTAATTTTAACAATCTATATAATAAAACAATATATGTGTATATGTTGCGTATAGCCGGCCAAACTGCTGGAACGATTGGGCTGAATTTTTTGTGGACACTCATGGCCGGGGGATGTCATAGGCTAAAACAATTCAAAAAAAATTTTCAATTTTTTTCCACGGGCAACGCTGGGCCCTTCATTTATATTTATTTATTTATATTTTTATATTTTGTGTTCTCCAGTTTCTTCTTGTTCCTGCATCTTCCATCATGTTCGGCTAATTTTGAAAATAAACCTGATTTAGAGAAAAGATTTAAAATCTCATCCTTGGGACAGTAATAGGATTAAAGAAGATCGGATAGGATAAAAACCAGGTGGCCAATTGAAATATTAAATCTAGTTAAATCAATCAAATTAACCCCTTTTCAAAATAGCAAGTACATTTAACATTGTACACCAGAATTGTAAATTGTAAATAGGGTTCAGAGTAGAGAATGTATGGTATACCTGTAGCAGGGTTCAGAGTAGAGAATGTATGGTATACCTGTAGCAGGGTTCAGAGTAGAGAATGTCCGTCCTGACTCTGCATCCAGCCACTCATTGTTGATGAACAGCTGGGTGTACTTTATCTCAGGGTTGGGTATTCCGGCCATCTTTCTCTACACAACCAAAACTAGTTTAAACGAGTTTAGATGAACGAATCCTGTACAAGGAACTGGTAGTTCAGATGCACCTTAGTGTAATCTATAGATAAACTTATATTAGAGGAGTTCAGTTCGTACCCCTTGAACGATTTGCCTCAAGTTTTGATTGGAGAACTCAGTAGATCGGTCTTGCTTGATTTAATAAATTCTTAGGTTTGCGGGTTGACCAATTTAGAGAGAGATTAGTTTCCAGTCAAAGCTGGGTTCACAAGCTAGTATAGGATAGTTTAAAGATATTGTTGCTTAAATTAAGAAAACTGTTTGAAATCTATTTTCTATTTATCTTTTAAAAATTGTAGATATAAGTTAATATATTTATCAGTCTGATATATTTAAGTTAAAATACTTATCAGGTTGATGTATTTAATTTTAAAAAATTTGTTATTGTATAACTGCACATCTGCACTTGGATCCATAAAAAAGTGAAACATGAAGACGACATTTAAGAATTATTATGTATTTGATATTGTAATAAAGTAAATAGCTTTCTCAGAAAATCAACTGTATCAAGCGAAATGTACTGTTTACACTTTTGCTTTTTTTAATTAGACTATTTAAAACTGTACGCGTAATTTTATGTGACCCACCATGCAAAGATGGCAATGCACGATTTACAACGGTCTTGATTCTTAAAAGCTGTATCTGATCAAGTATGAATAAGATATCCATGTTTTTGTGTGCATTTTAACTGTTTGTTTTTATCTGTGGTTTCTCTGCAAAAGTTGTGAGTTTCTTAACCTTATCAGGAACAACGGAGAAATTATCGGAATTTAACAATTTGCGATTCAGAAGAAGCTACATTATCTTTCACATTTTAAATTGGGCATTGTTGGTTTTACATGGAGGGTCACTTGAAATTACGCATATAGTCCCTTTAAGGGAGAAACAAATTGGAGTTGGATGAATTAAAAGATTTAGTTTCTAACAAGGTTATTTAAATCTTTAAATCTGAAACCAATTTGTTTTCCAAAATCATGAATAAAACTTTTATAATAAAATTAGGCTAATAAATACAAGTTTCTATTTGAAAAGGCAACTAGTTAGAACACTGCCTGTTTAGAAACTGCTTACTGCGTTGTTCAGGCCAATACACAGGCAGTTACTAAGGGCAGTTTAAAACATATGATAAATCAATCATTGCTCTTAAAAAAATACAAATTATTTTTTTTTGGGTCATTTTATCATATCAACTTTGTGTGCTCTTTTTAATAAGAAAAATGACCCCCTCCCCCCTCGGAATTTATACAGTGATTTTTTCATTTTTATGCCAAAACCATGTTGGTTCGTAAAAAATGTGTTGCAAAATTTATGATTTTACATATTTTTATAAAAAATACTTAATAAAGTGGCACAGAAGAAAAATCTTTTTTTCAAATCTATTCTTGAAATTCAAAATTTAAGGACTAGAAGGTGCCTTTTCCCTATTTTTGCGCTCTTTATTTTTCTCGGGGCCCCCAACCCCCCTTTAGCCGCCTCTGCTTTCGGCGTGACAGATTTAAAACAGATTTTACGTAATTGAAAATATTGCGTACATTTTTTATCATTTAAGTACATGGGGTATACTACTGTGAGTAGTTTGATATAAGGAATCAATCCCTTTAATGGTTGAGAATCATCCAGAAAAGGCTTAATTTTTCTTTTAAGTCTGATACTTGTTTACATCCCTGTTCAACCACATGTACTCCTTTTGTATTTCAAAATAAACTTGGTTGCGTTTAATTCACGAAACCTCTTAATATTTTCCTATTCTCTGATTGCATACTTATTTCTATAATAGAGTTCAGGAGCTAATCATCTGTATTTTTCACAAATCATTTATCAATAAAAATGATAAGGAATTATTCTTTTTTTAGAATGATAATATGGGAAAATGTAAGATTGGGTTACAAGCAAGTAAGTTCTTTTATCAGGGAGATGAGAAAAGAAAATCAAATAGTTAACCTGATGAATTCAAATGTTGTAATTTCTCTAACTTTAAAGGATTGTATTTGCTAATAAAAGTTAAAGTGAAACTGTACTGCGTTATTTTTTCAAACAAGAATAAGCTGAAAATTTCATATTTGAGATGTTTCCTGGTTCCTGGTTTCTAGTTTCTGGTTTCTAGTTCCTTGCTCGTTGTCTTTGGTTCCTGGTTTCTGGTTCCTTGCTTCAGGTTCCTTTCTTCTGGTTCCTTGCTTCTGGTTCCTTGTTTCTGGTTCCTTACTAACTATTTCTGGTTCCTTGTTAATTATTTCTGGTTCCTTGCACCTTGTTCTTGGCTGCTTGCTTCTGGTTCCTGATTCCTGATTTCTGATTCCTGGTTCTTGGTTCACTTTTTTCTGATTCCTGGTTCCTGGTTTCTGGATAATGATCCCAATTTCTTGGCTTCTGGTTCCTAGTTGCTAGTTCCTTTACCCTTGGTTCTTTGTTTTTTATTCCTGGTTTGTTCTTCCGATACTTTGGTTTAGTGGTTATGGTTTTCTAGTTCCCTGGTACCCTAATTTCTGGTTCCAGGTACTCTATCGGGGGTGGGGGGTAATGAAGGGGTGTGCGTACGGAAAACGGAAAAGAGGGGATCGAGGGAAGAGGAAAGAATTGAAGGGATGAGACCATGTAAAAGAGGAAAGAAGAAGAGACGGAATTTGTGTCAGTATAGGATAAAAGGGGGGAGATGAAGAGACTACATATATAGGACTTGTAATAATAGGTAAAATGTTAGGAAGAGACTTAAGGAGTGTGATTTTAGGGTGAGTGAAGGGGTAGTGGAAGAGACTATAAAGGGGTTTAAGTATGAAGAACCGTATAGAGTGGGGGGNTATTGATCTGAACTGATGGTAGCAGGGAGGGAGGGGAGGAGGTCTGTGTATTGAGGCCGGTATTGAAGAAACTAAGTTTATATTGATATTGACGGAGCTGGAAAACTTTTCTCAAAAGTTTTGGACCTTGGAGAACTGAAAGTTTTCATCTTGTTAGGAAAGTCTTGAAAGTTTAGATATTCCAGAACAGAAACTAGGAAACTAGAGGAATATTCTAGATCAGAATCCAGGAAACTAGAGGACTATTCTAGAACAGAATCTAGGAAACTAAGAAATATTCTAGAAAATAATCTAGGAAACTAGAGGAATATTCAAAGAGAGAATCAAGAAACTACAAAAATATTTTAGAACAGAATCCAGGAAACTAGAGGAATAATCTAAATCAGAATCCAGGAAACTATAGGAATATTTTAGAACAGAATCTAGGAAACTAGAGGAATATTCTAGAACAGAATCTAGGAAACTAAGAAATATTCTAGAAAACAATGTAGGAAACTAAAGGAATATTCTAAAACAGAATCCAGGAAACTAGAGAAATATTCTAGAACAGAATCTAGGAAACTAAGAAATATTCTAGAAAATAATCTAGGAAACTAGAGGAATATTCAAGATCAGAATCAGGGAAACTACAAAAATATTCAAGAACACAATCCAGGAAACTAGAGAAATATTCTAAATTAGAATCTAGGAAACTAAGAAATATTTTTAAACAAATTAGGAAACTTGAGGAATATTCTAGATAAGAATCCAGGGAACTGTAGGAATATTTTGAACAGAATCTAGGATATTATAGCATTTTGGTAAAACAAAAAAAAGGAGGGTAAAAAAGATTAAGAGCAAAAAATAAAAGGCCACGGTAAGAGACGGATGAATTAAAAAAGGAGATGGTTGGGGATAGATAAAAGATTGGGAAACGAGAAGTTAGAAGATAGGACAGAGGAATGGGAATAGAAACTATAGAAGATAGAACGGAGAAATGGGAAAAGAGACTGTAGGAAATAGGAGATAGAAATGGGAATAGAGACTGTAAGAGATAGGACAGAGAAATTGGAATAGAGACGGAGCTGCAGGAGGAAAAGGTGAGAAAGAGTGGAAGAGTAGAAGTATTTAATTAATATTAAACCCCTGACGTTTTTAACCACAAGATGGGAAAGAAATCGGCCAAGTAGAAGACCAAGAGAAGGGGAGGGAGGGATCTTTAATCAAGAAAGGGTGAATATATAATTTGAATAATTTGCATTAAATCAAAATATCTGCAATCAAGACTCATCAGATTATTCAGTTCTAAGAAACTGGTTTATCAAAGACATGAAAATTTAAAAAAGAAAAATTTTAAAAACGGAGAGAAGAAGAAAAGGATTAAAAAAGGTGTGGATATGTAAATATGTGTTACAAATTTTTGGACAGATAATTTTATTAAGGATTGCAACTCCACGCTGCTAATTAGTGCATAAATAAAGTAAACTGAATTAGTATTTTCTATATATTAGTATATTAGTATATTAGTATATTAGTATATTAGTATATTTCTATATATTAGTATTTTATATCTTTATACATAGGTAAAACTGCAAGTTTTACAAATGAAGCAATTAACATGAAAAACATTAACTTTGAAAACTTTACAACCTTTAGAACTTTTCAAACATTTTTTACCAACTTTGACTTTGAAGAAAGTTGTATTTTTGAAAGTTGATCTCTCCACACCAGAAAGTTTGCAGGGCTGCAACTGCATGTATAACTATGAACTGGGTCGACAAGTTTTTATGAGGAAAAGTTTTCTTAAATATCTACGAGGTTCCAGTGTGTGGAAATATCAGCTTTGTCTGCTTCGTTTAAATATATAAAAGTAGCTAAATCTGATCTATAAATCGTTAACTTTTAAAGGGAAAATTAAAAATTTAAATAAATCCATTTTTTGTAAAAACTAACCTCCACCGCCACTCTCATTCCATCTTTACCCTCTTACAACATCTGAAATACATCATGTCGATCTCACTGGTTTCAATTCTTTATGTATATTCTAAATTCTATGTACAGTACAACTTTAAATATGGTTTAAACATTTAAACCCGTTTTATTCAAATTTTTACAAATTTATCTGGCCATAAAAAAAAAATTTGGACCACACAAAATTTTGTCTAATCAGTTCAAAAGTAGAAGATGATATGTCGTATCCGGAGTTCAGGTTCCAAGACTACTTGTCGTATCCGGAGTTCAGGTTCCAAGACTACTTGTTATACCCTGAGTTTAAGTTCCAAGACTACTTGTTATACCCTGAGTTTAGGTTCTAAGACTACTTGTTGCATCCGGAGTTCAGGTTCCAAGACTACTTATTATACCCTGAGTTTAGGTTCCAAGACTACTTGTTGTATCTGGAGTTCAGGTTCCAAGACTACTTGTCGTATCCGGAGTTCAGGTTCCAAGACTACTTATTATACCCGGAGTTCAGGTTCCAAGACTACTTGTTATACCCTGAGTTTAGGTTCCAAGACTACTTGTTATACCCGGAGTTCAGGTTCCAAGACTACTTGTAGTATCTGGAGTTCAGGTTCCAAGACTACTTGTTGTATCTGGAGTTTAGGTTCCAAGAATACTTGTTGTATCCGGAGTTCAGGTTCCAAGACTACTTGTTGTATCCGGAGTTCAGGTTCCAAGACTGCATGTTGTTTCCTGAGTACGTAACCACGTATACAGATTCCAAGACTAAATATGGAATCCTGAACTCCGGTTCCAACTTTTAAATGCAAGTGCCATTTATTATCCAAGCTTGGTATAATATGTCCCAATCTGTATGTACCATTTTTATCTAAAGCTGGCTTCCAAGTTTTCAAATTTTTCTTTTCTTTTTCTTTTTTTAAACTCAAGCTTGGTTCCACACAGTGTCCTTGATCAAATTAGATCGTGCATAGCTCAAAATAAGGTTTATTTGGAACATAATAAAGGATTCTAGACCACAGATTAATTTTTAAAGATTATATAATAAATAGGCATGCAGAAAATACATGTCTTTGATTACTCTGCAATCTGCTTGTATTAAGGCGATAAAGCTTGAATATAATCCAATATGATTTCTTTCATTATATGATATGCACAACACTGAAAGTTATTTTCATATTTCTAATATCCATGTGATATGTAACAACTGACGTACTATAGTTTGTTTGCCATCCACACCTATATACACACAGGGTCTACCATAAAGAATGTTACTATAAAGACGAGCTAAAACTCTTTAAATCTAACAATTCCCAAGTTAGATTAAATCGTCTACCTTGAATACATTTGTTAATGTTTTTTAATGAATAAGCAAATAGAGAAACTAGTTTACAGTTGCTGCAGTATTCATTAATATAAGGAAACAGAGAGTATAACTTCTTAAAGTCGTCTCTACAGTCTCATTCTTTGTGGGTAACCCTGTATATAAATACGAGTAAAATGCATTTTCTCTAGTTTTTATGTTTTATGTACGTTGTACTGCGACTTGTTTCCTTGTCTCCATGTGCTGTCTCCAACTGTCGCTAGATTTTCTCCTCTGAATATGACAGTGTGGATTGAAGCGTAAACCTCGAGATTAGGACAATTTAATCCAACTTCATTAATAACTTTCAAAAGTCAATAAAACCCTGAGAATCGCGGGAAATCATATTATACAAACTTTGAGAGAGAGAGAGAGAGATTCATGTTCAACTTGGGTCAATACTATTTATGTGTTGGGACTCAATCCCCTCTTCTTCACTGTATCCCCCTCTAGCCCTCATCCCCCCCCCTTTACCCCCAGCCCTGGAGGCCTAGAAAAGTAGGCGGAGTTTAGGGACAAGAGGACAAATTACACGGAGTCCTGCAAAGAGAGAAGAAGAAGTATAAAACTAGTGCCGGACAGAATATGCCTTAAGCTAGGCAGAGACCAGCAGGGCCGGGCCAACTTCTCGGCTGAACCCGGACCGACTGCTAGCCTATCCAGGCCGATGGAGCCCCCTGCCAGGCAGACGATTTCTTTTCTCTCGTTGGTCGGAGGAAGACTCCACCCGGTCCACGAGGCTTCTCGGAGAAGCCCGGAGAATTGAGGTTTCATCCTGAACCTCCGGATCAGGGCTTGATACCTCTCAGTCGGTTTCAGCCAGCCTCTGTCTACCAAGAACCTGTTGATTCTCTGTTGTTATATCCATCCGGAGCAATCTAATCTAGGGTTATGATCTTCTACTCCTGGTTTGGCTTGACACTGGATAATGAGTAGGGGTTCGTAATTAGTCCTCAAACATTGACATGAGATGTCCGGTTTCTAAAACTGCAGTGGATGACCTAGAAAAGTTCTAAAAAAGTTTTCAACTCTCAAACCAAGTTTTAAAAAAGTAAGTTTCTCAGGTAACTTTTCAAGTACATGATTCTACTTGAGGAACTTGTTGAAAACTATCCTTAATCTTTAATGTTCACCACTTCGGCGCATATATTTTAGATTTACCATAAGTATTTGGGACAGAGGAGTACTCGGGGGGGGGGGGGCGGGGGGGGCTCAGCCCCTCCCCCTCCCAGTTATACAAGAGAAAAAATATGCCACCTCCCAGGACAAACTCCTGATTAAGCCCCTGATTTTACATTAAACACCTGTAATTGTGATGAATCATGGAGGTTAATATGGAGCAACAAAAAATTCCATACAGATCAAGATTTAGGGCCATGAACTTAAGACTTATTTAAGAAACAAAAATATTTTGGAGCAAAATTTTACTTCTCTAAATTGTCTCTTCCCGCTAAAAGCCTAAAAGAATAGGTTTGTGGTTGAAAATAAAAAACTCATGTTTATTTAAACTTCATGTGCAGTATTGAAAAATTATAAATTTTTACAGTTCAGAATCATGGAAAAGATTAAAAAATTATTTTTTTTTGGCGCCACGAATCTTCTGCCCCTCCCCTTCCTATCTTCTTTATCCTTTTCTTTCTTTCTTCTCTTCTTTTTCTAAACACCTCTCTTCTATTCCATTCTTCTCTTCTTTATCTAAACACCTCTCTTCTATTCCTTTCTTCTCTTCTTTTTCTAGACACCTCTCTTCTATTCCTTCCTTATCTTCTTTATCTAAACACCTCTCTTCTATTCCATTCTTCTCTTCTTTATCTAAACACCTCTCTTCTATTCCATTCTTCTCTTCTTTATCTAAACACCTCTTTTCTATTCCATTCTTCTCTTCTTCATCTGAACACATCTCTTCTATTCCTTCCTTCTCTTCTTTATGATGTAAACACATCTCTTCTATTCCATTCTTTCTTCTTTATCTAAACACCTCTCTTCTATNCTCCATCAAAATTCGATCGTCATTAAATTTTTAAAAATTTTGAAAATCCGCAACATTTTTTGTGAAAATCCGCGAATTATTTTTGTTTTGTTTTACGATGTACACAAAGAGAACATGTTCACAACTAATTTAGAAGATGGGCGCGAAGCGCCCTCTAAGGCTAGAAAGAAGGGCGCGAAGCGCCTTGAATTTCTAGTTATCTAAATAACTCACTTATCTTTCTTTCTTCTCTTCTTTATCTAAACAACTTTCTTCTCTTCTTTATTTGAACAACTTTTTTCTCTTCTTTATCTAAACAACTTTCTTCTCTTCTTTCTTTTTCTCTTTTTATCTTCTCCTGTTTATCCAAAACCCTTCTTACTTCTTTTTCTGTGAAATTACCTTATTTTTTTTAAAGGGACTGTAAGCGTAACTTCAAGTTTCGCTGCATGCAAAGATGGTAATGTCCGATTTACAACGGTAACCTTGAAAACTTGTTTGATAAAGTATGAATTAGATATCAATGTTTTTGTATCTTTAAACTGCATATTTTAATTTGCGGTTTTTGTGCAAAAGTGACTTGCGCATTCCTTGTTTATAAGAAGCAATGTAGAAATTTACAGAAATACACACTTTTTAAGTCAGAAAAACGACACATTTTTAATCAGATAAATGTAGTAAATTGCCATCTTTACTGGGAGGGTCACTTGAAATTACGCTTACAGTCCCTTTAAATCAAAATTTTACTCCTTTCCAAACCTTCAATCCCCTCCCCCCTCCTTTTATAAAATTGATCATAATACGTCGTATTAAATCAAACAATCATCAAATAAACGTGGGTGAATGCCCTCTTCCACCTGAATCCTGCCGATGACAATTAGAGAATCCAATATGGCGGTTAAGCTCTCATTATCCAAATAAAATGGTTGCCGTCCTCTCATTACCCACGCGAATAATATAATATGATTGTTCCCAGAGGAGAGGCGAGGCTAGGATATATATGCCACTAATTCTTTTATTATAAGGCAACAGTTAACCTTTGCTTATTACTACTAAAGAAATAATCACCTGTTAATTGATACAAAAAGGGGATATTTACCTAAACATGATAACCAATAAACAGGATGTTTTTATTGTGTAAAAAGCACATTTATTTATTTACGATTTTATGTCGGAAATGTAAGAAGGTAATTAAGAGCGATAAGTTGAATTTTTGCAAAACCAAATTAGTATCTTTCAAAATTTTAGGAATGAAGACGAGTAGTCCTGATTACTCCGGGGACACTTACTGTCCTAATCTTCCCACACAAACTCCCATATCTGATATAGGTAGGACAGTGTTTTTCACTCCCATATCTGATATAAGTAGGATAGTTTTTGCACCTCACTCCCATATCTGATATAGGTAGGATATTTTTTTCTTTCAACCCTGTACTTTCTCATTATTTTTAAACTCTTAAACTTTCTCATTACACGAGAATTAAAAACTTTAAAAACAATCTTAACATTAGAAACTTATTTTCTTAGTTTTACTTTAAACTTTTTCACTTTTAAACCCTGGTTCATTCTAATCTTTTCCATTTAATAACTCCATTTTAACGTCACTCCAACCTCTACCCTCATCCAGACCAAAGGTTGGGTTCAAATACAGTGATAATCACAAACTGTGGAATAGGAAGACGACTTTTAGACTCAAGTTTTGATTTAAAATAGTCCGTTTAACATGAGACACAAGAATCATGCAGTGTGGACAACAATTTAATTTGAAACGTGATTTTAAAGTTCAAGTCAAAATATCTGCTGTGAAACAACATCAAATCCACTTAAATATTGTTTTAATGTCGTCTTTCTACTCCACATTTCTAAGGTTTTTACTGTATATTTTTTATTAAAAATGTTCCCAACTTTTTAGACTCTAAAGTCGTAAAGCAGAATGTTACATATGACACAACAACGGGAAAGGTTTATGAAGAGCTTGGGAGTAATAACAACAACAACAGCAGTAACAACAATAACAACAACAATAGCAATACACAACGAACTTCATATTTTCAGGTAAATAATTTACTATTTATAAATTTTCAAATTCTAAGACGAAATGTGATTTTTACGATCTTAAAACCTTCAAAAATGAAAAATCCAGAAAATAGAGTTGCTGGTGAGACAAGTTGAATAAATTATATTCTTACCTCTTCTTGATGCTCTTCTCAGGGAAAAAAAATAATCCTAATCGATAAAAATTGATAGATTCAAATAATTAGCTGATCTTTACAAATTAAAAACTTGAAGTTAAAAATTATAAACTAAAAGTTAAAAACAATAAATTTTCTAAAATTATATGATAAAAATCATTAAATAATAATAAATGAATAAATTTTGTTAACTTGATATTTGTTTAGACTAGTGGATACGGTGGATATCCTTATAACCTGAATCCTGTGCAACCAGCTCAATGCATGGGTTCATACTCTTACACATCACCCTCTCCTTACGATAGGTGAGCCGGAGCCAACAATAAATTAAAGAAAAGCAATGAAATATTTGCCACAAACAAAATCAAAACTCGTGGAGCTATATAGTCACAAAGTCGTGCACGTGATTTTTCATAAATTTAAGTTCCATAATTTAAGTTTTATAATTTAAAATTATCATAATGAAGTTTTAGGTCTGGAAAATAATGAATAGTGATTTTATATTACGATTTACGTCATTGGGTTATTTTATTTTATTTTCTTAAACATTTTTTTGTGAATGATGAAGAACTAAAGAAATGTTTTTAATTGATCCGTCAGACGGTTTAACCTTTGATTTCTCCGGGTTGGTATTAGATCAGGGAGTAATCTGATTGTTTGGTTAGGGTTGACTTGTCTGAGATTCAATTATCCTGGTCAGTGTCTTTGTACCATTACTCTAATTCAATCCTGATCTTAATTAGATTTCAGTCGGAAACAAAAACCCTGTGATCCCTAATTCAAGGAAAATCTAGAATCCGTAATTCCTAGAATCCAATATCTGAAACTCAAAGATAAACATTGAGGAATATATGTTCAATAAATATCTGGGATTAGGCTCGGGATTATATCCTCTCAAATATAAAGGGCTGGACTAGCACAGGGATCCAAAGGTTGCAAGTTACCCAAATATCGAGGACAAGTATCGAGGACAGTTTTGCCAACTACTTCTTAAAATTAAAAGTTTGAATCAAGTTCTAAAATGTAGAGGTCTAGGACTACAAAAAAGTGAGTAAGTGAGGTCAAATCAAACGCCAAGACGATGCAACACTTTAAAGTAGACCCAGTTTTGAAGTTTTGTGCAACTTTTCATAGCAGTCTGGATCTATGTGGATTGAGAATCGTGTCTTGTAATATATTTTAGACTATACATTTTTCTAATCTGGACGTAATTAATGTAAACCCTTGAAACCGCGCAGATTGTACTATTGCTTATCGATTAACTTTGACAATGTCTAAACTTATTCCAAATATATCAGATCCTTGTATCCTTTCAACCCACCTGGAGCATTTATCCCTCACTCTGCCATCAACCTGTCCGTGAAGTCAGGTGGAGAAGATACTAGTCCTCCAGTACAGAGTCTAGATCTATCTATACCTGAACCTAGTGCTGTATCTAGTACCGGATATATTCATCCTAGTCCCGGACATCACCCGGAAAATCCAACCTCACAGATCCTAGATCTCACCCGGTCTCTCCCTATCAGGTAATACTTATTGACAATGTCTTTCTTAAATATAAAGATTTACGTATATTATTCCAACTATCTTTGTGCATTCTTCCGTACTTCGTGATATTCTCTTCATTCTTTTCTTTGCTCAGTGTTAGCAGTGGAATTGGAGCATTTACAGCTACTGGATCCAACCCTGGAGAAGGATTGATTTCTCCGTCCCAAGACGGAAATCCTCTTAGAAGTGGAAAGGAGCAAACTGAACCTGTAGATTTCTCTCAGGCTCCAGGATTCTCTCCACGTGGGTTCGAGGCATGTTTCCCTCGTGGTTCTACAGTACCCGGAGATGGTTTATCAAGATACCGACCCCAGAATGGTAAGATCTTTCTATATTGAAATTCTTAGCATGTCGATCTCAAACAATAAATAACTGCTGCGGATCGTATATTCATTCAACAGTAAGGTTCACTTTCTGGGATAGATTAATTTCATTTCCCAAAAATTGTCCCAATTAAGAAAGTCTTTGTCATTTCCTACTGATATCTAGAACTGTTTGTTTTTTATTAATATATCAACGATCCTTGTGATTTTTATTTTAAAAAACACAAGAAAGATTTTTGCTGGCTAATTAATTAATCTAAAAATTAAAAGTTTAATATCACCCCTTTGAAATGTTTAATACAATAATTGTTTAAAAGTCGTTATTATGACGTTAAAAAATTTTGTCAGTCACATAAAAAGTTTTTTTTTGTCACATCTGCCGTTTTAACCAAACCCATAGATTTGTATTTTATTTCGTAAAATGAATTTATGACTGTTTTTATTTATGAACGTCCCTTTCATTAAATTTGCATGTCCCATTTATGACCTAAATACCCTGCATTAATGCTAAGTTTGTTAATAATAATAATGATTGGTAAATTCATTCCTATCATAGCTCATAATTAATCTAATCTAATAGTTTCATGTTGTTTATAATTTCGACAAACTTTGCTTATTATTTAACTAAAAAACTATTCGAAAATCGTTGCTGAACAGTATTATTTTAAAACTAAAATAATAAATAACACGCATCAGTGTATAGAAATGATAGTTTAAAAAAAGAACATTTGGTTTGTACTTGAAATATAATTTATTGAAGTATCTATCAATAAATCATGTTTCCGTATATTTATTTAATAACTTTACTTGAATTTATACTTTTTATGCTATAAATGTTGCAAATACCAAAACTATAAAATCCAAAATTTATTGAAAACCACGCAGGGGATTGATTCCGATTTTCTATTGGATTCCTCGTAATATAATAAAACTCTTGGAGGATTTAGATCGTTCAAGGTTTCACGGTTTTCAAGAATTTCCTGCCCCCGTCACAGTTTATCTTACTCTCAGACAAATAGAAATTTATTGTTCCCCCATTGAAAACAGGGTTTCCAAAATTAGTAAGAGATTATTTTTGAATGAATTCCGGTTTTGTAATAACTCCGAGTAAATGTCTGATAAAGGAAAGATTATTGTTTGAACCGTTCCATATTCTATAGGAGCAGTGTTCTCTCCGTTGAGTTTGAATCCTGGATACGGATATCCTGGTTCAGGATATCCTTCCTACCAACAGTCCTACTCCTGTCTTACTCCGTATCCTCCAACCACATTCTCCACTATGTCTCCTTACCAGGTAGGAACAGGTTGATTTTTCACTCGGATTTGGGTCTGACAGGATGTATTTTGATTAAGATTTAAAATTAAAATTGTAAAAATAAGAAAATTTTATTTGAAAGGATTGATTTCAGGATTCTCTGGTAGCAGGATATGGTATGGTTGGATCCAGCTCCGTTAGTCCTGACAGCTCCATCAAACCTGAACTTAGGTCAGTCAGTAAACCAGACCTGTCATTAAAATCTTCATTTAAAACCTTTTTTCCCATCCTAAGTTTTCATCCATTTATCATCCTTTACTTTATTCATATGTTCATCGGGCATTCTACATTTTTAATTTTCTTTAATTTTAAATTCCTTTTAAATTCTTTTTATTTCTTCTAACTTTTCTCCCCTTCTCCTCATCTCTTCTTTTCTTCTTCTTCTCCTCTTCTCCCCTAATTTCTAATATAATAATATCAGACCAGAATTGATGTTGAAATATATAGAGAGATAATTTTGTTTAATTTTGAATATTGGATTACAATACACCCCTCCCCCTCCCCTTGTACACACAACACCCCCGCATCACCAGTCCATGTCCCACCCTCCCAAATATCTTGTCCTCGTTAAACCATCCTCCCCCCTTACCCCCCTCCCCCTTCCTTCGTAGTCAATATTCTGTTTGTATATTTTGTTTAAAGCATAATGTCGACATTTTAATGTGAAAACTTTGAAAGTATTTAGTTCAAAAATAATTTGGAAAGCTTATACCCCTCTACTCTGAAACAACTTCTTTAATATTCTTCAAACCATTCTGAAATTCCTAGAATTTCTTTTAGTTTCTAACAATATTCTAGTAAACATTTCTTTTAGTTTCTAACAATATTCTAGTAAACATTTCTTTTAGTTTCTAACAATATTCTAGTAAACATTTCTTTTGGTGTAACAATAATCTAGAAAACATTTCTTTCGTTTCTATAAAAAAAATGCTTTTTTTGTTACGTTGCTGGGTATAAATGTACTTATGATCCCTTGACTAATTTGCCTCAAATTTTGATTGGGGAACTCGAAAGAATATGGAAATGTTCTTTGCTTGGTTTTATAATTCTAAGTGGACTTGTACAGAGAAAGTTCAGATTCCAAGTTATGTAACCAAACTAGTCTTGTATAATTATCAAAGTCTTTATAATAAGAAATTAGAATAGGAACAAAATTCTAGGAGATAATAAACGAACAGAAGTTCCTACACACAAACACTATAGTGTGTAAATATGATTTGAATATTCCAATCAGGGGTATTGACCCCCCCCCTCCCCCTACTCCTCTATATTTGCAATTTAACTCCACGTCTTAAACTTGGAATACTGATATATACCTCTTCCTGCCCTCTCTACACCAAGGAATATAAAAAGAAGGAGTGTCAAGGGAAATTTCTCAGAAAAAATGCTAATATTGTGATATCGATCCATCTAAACTAACAACAACATTACAGTATATCGAACTCTCTTAAAGGAGGTGTTTACGAAAAATGAAAGAGGGTATAACAAATATAAAAAATATTATGAAATACCCACTATATACGAATACGTCGAAAAATTATCAATGATTATAGGTTGTAATATCTAAATGATTTGTTTGGAATTAAATTGATTTTTTTACGATCCGAGTCGTATGCTGCAACTTTCTGAATTGGTATTGACGCTACGTTCCTCGGTATGAGTGGTTTTTAACAATTAAATAGTTTTAAGAGTTTTGTCTACTATTTACTAACAACTAAAGCTAAAAACAAGTTCTTAAATGTCTAGGGCTACAATAAATGTGAGTTAGTGATGTACAATCAAAGGCCAAGGCGTTACGACACTTTAATGTCTTGAAAATTGAAGTCTGGATCATCATCAAATGTGAGTTGTCTGTCTTATTGGTCGGTAGTAGCAAATCTAATTTGATCAGGAGAGCTGAAAGGGACTTTATATATAAGCTTGATTTCAAGTGACAAATGCCTTCAAGTTCCGGCTCAAATGCCTTCAAGTTCCGGCTCAAATGCCTTCAAGTTCCGGCTCAAATGCCTTCACGTTCCGCCTCAAATGCCTAAGACTTTGTTATGATATTCTTTTCGGAACAGCTAAAAGGTTTTTACCAATGCATGGGGAAATTTTTTGATTTAAAATCATAAACGCTTAGTGGCAAAATCAATATTATACTTTTTGTAGATTTTTCCAACGTTGAATTTTAAATTATTTTTACCAAAAAGTGTAGTGTTTAAAATACAAAAATGTTCTTCCTGGTGTGTATTTTTCTTGCCAAAGTTGAATTTTCCATATTCATATTTTCAAATAAAAACTTTTTTATTTCAAACATGAATTTGATCCCTGGACTGTTGACAAAGGAAGTTATTTATGTAAATTCATTCTTATCCTTCGGGGATACAAGATGGGGGAGGGGAAGGGGGGAGGGGGAAGATGGGGAAAGAGGGGAATCCCTAATAGAGGGTGTGAGGGTGATAGATCTTATGGATTCCCCTGGGCCGCGGTCAAATTCAATTCTAAATTCCGGCAGTTTAGGCAAATTGAAAATAGGAAAATCAAATGATAGCAAACCTGAATATATTTGAATTTATATAAATCCTGAAAGTATTATATATGAGATGTGACAGCGTGGATAAATCCTAAATAGGACGGAAACAAACTCCATATTTTCAGATTATGTTTAATCAAAACTTCCATTCTTTCCTCCGATAGATGAATAAGCAAAATACGTCCTCATTTATATTATTGGGTCTCCCCTCCCCTGGGAAAAATTAGGAGCACAAAAGAAAAGCAGGGCCCTTCTAGGACTCTTGTTTTATTTTACCCACTCCCAGCTTGTCATGCTAGATAACTCTTTATTGTTCCGGTAAAGTTTTAAGAAAGCTTCTATTTCATCAAATGTTTTTGTCAAGTCCAAAATCAGGAAAAAATAACCGCGTTAGAAATATTTTTTTTATATTTATTGCGTTAGAAGTTTTTATTGATTTATACTTATGTGCAGATATTATTCAGTCAAAAACATTTTAATATTTTCAAATAATTTTACTTTAAAGAGGTTAAGTTTTTTTTATAATTCAGTAATAAAATGAAACCTTGTTCAATTAATCTTGAAATTCTAAGCTAGAAACTCAGGCTTTAATAATTCTATTACATAAATAATTAAATGGATAAACGTTTCTAGTTTGTGTTCTCGACAAGATCCAGGACGGAGCCAGGAGCTAAAATGTCCTACACCAGGCTGCGATGGATCCGGACATTCCACAGGTTTGCACATTTTTAAACAAAGCTTTCCCTCATTTTCTTATTTGTTGGCAAACATAAAGAAAAAGAAATCAATCCAGGATAGATCTTAGCTCTTTTATTTTTTCAAACTTTTTGGAAGAGCTAAAAATAAAAAAGATTAATGGTTAGAAGAATTACTTAAAAAATTTTAAATTAAATTAAAAAATCGTTTGAATAATAAATGTGAATTGTTTAGGGAACTATTCCTCTCATAGATCTCTCTCCGGGTGCCCCCGGGCAAACAAACCAAAAAGACACAAGGATGGAGCAGAATCTGAACCGCTCAGGTATTGATAAAACACTAGAAACTCTACTAGACAGACGGAGAAGGTCAAATTCATTATTGGACCGACTTTGTGACCTTGTAGCTCCTCTAGTTTTGATTTTATGCACAAGTATAAGAAAACCTAATTCTTTGGTTACATATTAGAAATTTAAAATTTAAAAGACTGACTTTAGTCGTTAAGTAATTAAACAATATACTAAATGATATGGTAACACACAAAACATGTTTATTTCTGAAAAAATGTGATCTTTTGGTTGTAAGTTGTAACTCTGTTTAAGATTTAAATATTTGTAGATGCCCGATCCCTGGCTGCGATGGTTCAGGGCACGCTACTGGAAAATTTCTTTCCCATCGAAGGTAACTGTTAGAAAACTTATAATCAAATTCTTCTTTATAGTTCGGGAATAGAAAATATTTCAAAACTATTTTAAAATCAAGAATTTGTGTGTTAAGATTTTGAAGAATAGTTGAATAGAGGATATGATTAGTTTTTATATTTGCCAAAATTCATTTACTTCATTGATTCTCGACAATAAATATATCAACGTAACATAAAAGTGCAAAAATTTTAAATCAAATAAAAATGCTACTAAGTTTTAATCCATGTTAAAATCTTCCAAAGCTTCAAGATCGGATCAAGTTTATTTTATTATTTAGTGAAAGAGCATGCCCTATTGCCGCCAGAATGGCCAAATCTTTGAGTGTTGGTAGCTCCTCGTACATCATGGAGGATTACTGCTCCGTAGCCTGCCTGTAAGTTTTGATTCAAAACCAAAAGATCCAGTTTCCTAAAAGGTTGCGTCACCAGATCTAAATAAAATAAATTAAACAAATATTTGATTTAAGTAAGATCTTTTGGTCCTGTGACACAAAACTTTAGGGCAACTTTCTGGAGTTTTAGAATTTAATTTCTTTTTTTATTTCAGCGCTAGTGGTTGTCCTCATGCGAGTAGAAATAAATCGCGATCCTTGGAGTCCGGTCTCGGAGGTCGGATATTGGACTCCACCCTGGTGGGAAGAGGGTTGGAGTCCTCCTTTGGGATGAATCACTCCATGCTGAAGTACGGGAGTCATATTAGACCCTCACTCCCTCCCTCATTACATCCTCAAACAGGTATAACGCAGAACCAAACCAAATTTTCAACTTTTTTCAACATTTGAAAAATTTATAATTTCTACTTTCTTTTTTATATAGATTTATGTGCCCGATTCACAACGGTACCTTCTCAACCTTTGTCTGAGATATCCTAGTTTTCCAACCTTATAAATTGATCTTTTTAAATTTTGTTTTTCCTTTAAAGATTTAGGTGGTACCGTTGTCAATCGATATTGCCACCCAATAAAAGGGGGTAATTTTTAGTTATGCCTACGGTTCCTTTAAGCACAATTCTTCCTCCTTTTTCAATTAACACTTTATTTCTTCTCATCTTTATGGTATTAATAAGACTATATCCGTGAATCTATATATATGTATATATCAACAATATCGACAGTGGAAAAGGAAGACCAGTGATAGACTAATAGACTCAAGTCTTAATTCTAATAAATCCAATAAACTTGAAACACGGCTATTGTGCAGTATACACAGACCCATTTTACATAACGGGTTGGTTTTCAAACTAATTAGTAAATTCTTTTGCTTTATATTTAAATAAAAATACATATAACATTACTAATTGTCGTCTTCTAATTCCACAATTTTATAGGTCCAACTGTAAATATCATTATCTTTTAATACTGATTCAGACTTCTATATATGTAATTTTAATATAATTCTGTATCGTACTTTTATCTAAAAATCTTTAAACATTAATCATCATGACATTCAAAACCTTACAGTGATCAAAAAGTGGCAAGCTTTCAAACAACTAATTTCTAAAACTAAAACTAAGAATAAGGCTTTACAGTTCTACAATGTACAGGTCTAGGGCTGCAAGAAATTATAATTGAGTTAGTGTGTTAAAATCAAAAACTAAGTTAAAAAAACTTTGCAGCTTTAAAGAGCAGTCTGGATGAATAAATTTTGGATTTTGATATATATAATTCTGATTTAGAATCTCCTATATCGATGTACTTATATTGTGTATCCTGAACCTTGAATCTCAATGCAGCTTTATTTTCTTATCCCATCAAACTTTTCCTCTTTTAATACATGTTCAAAGGTTTAGAAGTATATATCCCCCCTCCTTCCTCCTACTAATACCCCCTCTTCCCCCACTATTATCTCTCCTCACTAAGCCCCCTCTACCAATCCCTACCCTCCCGTTTTCTCCATGTTGAACGTTTAACCCAGAAACTCTATGATAAATGGGTCTATGAATAAAGGAATTGAAATGTGCTCGGAACAAATGATATTTCATTTGAACACTAATCTACTTCATTCTTCATCCCTGGGATACATTTCAAAATCTGGGAAGAAGAAAATGAACTTAAGAAGAAGATTATTCCAAATCTGTATCTGTATCTGTATCTGTATCTGTATCTGTATCTGTATCTGTATCTGTATCTGCATCTGTATCTGTATCTGTTTCTGTATCTGTATCTGTATCTGTATCTGTATCTGTATCTGTATCTGCATCTGTATCTGTATCTGTTTCTGTAGTATCTGTATCTGTATCTGTATCTGTATCTGTATCTGTATCTGTATCTGTATCTGTATCTGTATCTGTATCTGTATCTGTATCTGTATCAGGATATGAGCCAAGTGAGCTGATGAGCCTGGAGGATGAGATGACCCAAATCGCGAAGGAGAACAGCAAGGTGGAGAACCAAATTAACAGGATGAAGGTTGACATGGTGTCCCAGGACCGGGACGAGAAGGAGAACGAGTTAAAAAGAAAAAATGCCAAAATATCTTCTTATTATGAAAGTTTAAGAACGAATGTATTCTCATTACTTGGTGAGTAATTTTTCTTGTTGAACTTTAATTTTCGTTTCTTAAATACAGCAAAACAAATTTATACGATATTATATAATTGCTCAATTTCCCGGCGTTGCCCGTTAAATTTTGAAAAGACTTTTTAAACAAAAAAATTCGATTTAAAAAATAATCGATGGGTTCCCCAAAAAAGTCACCTAATTTTTTCCAGTCACACATATAAATATAGAGCGAAGAGCTTTAATTGTTTTATAGATAAAGTAATTAGAAAAGTTATTTTATTCAGATATTTATTACAAATGTCCTTCAAAATATTTTATGTTTTTGTTCCATTAAATTGATTTAAGTGGTTAAATTATGCATATATGCACAATCCACTTTCAATTTAATTGTTTTTCAAAAGTTTTGGATTGTATCGACGCCTATACTCGTGTCATCATTTTCAATTATTTTGGTTTGCACTTAAAGGGAGTGTCTTAGATTTTTCGAACAACAAAAATATCAATATTAATCTTTCTCTTAAAATTTTTTTTTTTTTTATTACATGGGGGAATTAGAACTTTTATTCTTAAATCAGGAGAAAAAAAACTATGATGATAATAATTTAGCCTGTCTATGCATGAAATGTTTTGAAATAACATTTTTCTATCGATGAAATGTCTTTTCAATGGAATGGTCTATCTAAAAAATGTCAACCTTTAAAATTTATTCCACCTAACACATTCCTCTATAAAAATAAATGAATTTTTTATAAGTAACTCTAAAAAATAAGCTTCAAATGTGTTGATTAATTTAATTTTGAATTTAAAAAGGGGTTTTTGTATTTTAAGTAATAATGGGCCTCTTGAAAAAAGTTTAAAATCCCAAAAATCAATGTTTAGAGATACTACCAGAATTGAAACTCAAAATATATTTTATTCTTGTTTAACATTAGTCGTTATTGTTTAAATATAGAATTTAAATTCGAAGAACACTTTGCAAACACATTAAATTTTGGCAGAAATGCGAATGGTTTCGCAAAACTGCAGTCTTGACAGAAATATTAGGAATTTGCGACAAAACATCGACATTGATGCATTTCCGGCAATATTTCCTTTCTTCTCTCCAGCCATATTCAATGTATATCTCCTGCAGCCATATTCAATATATATCTTCTCCAGCCATATTCAATATATATCCTCTCCAGCCATATTCAATACATATCTTCTCCAGCCATATTCAATATATATCTTCTGCAGCCATATTCAATACATATCTTCTGCAGCCATATTCAATATATATCTAATGCAGCCATATTCATATATATATTCTCCAGCCATATTCAATATATATCCTCTCCAGCCATATTCAATACATATCTTCTCCAGCTATATTTAATATTTATCTTCTCCAGCCATATTCAATATATATCTTCTCCAGCCATATTCAATATATATCATCTTCAGCCATATTCAATATATATCATCTTCAGCCATATTCAATAAATATCTTCTCCAACCATATTCAATATATATCTTCTCCAGCCATATTCAATATATATCTTCTCCAGCCATATTCAATATATATCATCTCCAGCCATATTCAATATATATCATCTCCAGCCATATTCAATATATATCTTCTCCAGCCATATTCAATATATATCTTCTCCAGCCATATTCAATATACATCTTTGCCAGCCATATTCAATATTATTATCGACAGCCAGATTCAATAAATATCTTCTCCAGCTATATTCAATACATATCTGCTGCAGCCATATTCAATATATATCTGCTGCAGCCATATTCAATATATATCTTTGCCAGCCATATTCAATGTTATCATCGACAGCCAGATTCAATAAATATCTTCTCCAGCCATATTCAATGTTATCATCGACAGCCAGATTCAATAAATATCTTCTCCAGCCATATTCAATACATATTTGCTGCAGCCAGATGCAATATATAATATTTCCACCATATTATAACAGGGCCCTTACTTGTATATGAATATTCCTGGGCCCTAAGGTATATTTGAATATTCTAGGGCCCTAATATATCTTTGAGTATTCCAGGGCCCTAAGGTATATTTTAATATTCAAGGGCCCAAATATAAATTTCAATATTTCAGGGCCAAAATATAAATTTCAATATTTCAGGGCCCAAATGCATGAAATCTGACGAGGGGGAGAAGTACGACAACTACCTGACCAAGCTCCAGAACATCTGTACAGAGAATGTCGGTGAGGAAGGAAAACCCATCACGGAGTCAATGAAAACCAACCTTCCTCTCCCGGTCCTACCAACCCCAACCTAAACCTTTGTTTAAATATTGGGTTCCTAGTTTACATGCTTTAATTATTATAATTAATATGATTATTCTAAAAATTAAACCTTTTTGACGAGAAATGACACCCAACCCTTACTGTGATATCTAAATTGTAATCCTTTAGTTCATCCTTAATTAAAGGAACTGAACAGGAACTGAACAGGAACTGAACAGGAACTGAACAGGAACTGAACAGGAACTGAACAGGAACTGAACAGGAACTGAACAGAAACTGAACAGAAACTGAACAGCAACTGAACAGCAACTGAACAGCAACTGAACAGGAACTGAACAGGAACTGAACAGGAACTGAACAGCAACTGAACAGGAACTGAACAGGAAACATATCGTACTAGATGTTCTAGATTGTAATTTATTAACTAATTAATTATTAAGTTTATTTTGTTTTCTACGAAATAAAAATAACTGGGGAAATGTTTAAATCATAATTAAAATTGTATTGTTAGCTTTTAAGAGACCAAAAAAAATTTATTGATTTTTTAGCCAACCAATAATGGTTAGGAGGTTAATCGAAATTTTTATAAGTGAAAAAAAGTTTTTAAGTCCATTTTTAAGTTTATGTTGATTGTTACAGATAAATAGTAAAATGTTAAGAGTCTTAGAGCTGTATATAAGGTTCTATATTGGATATGGATATCTATACACTAGGTTTTATACCCAGAGAACTTTTTACCAAGCGTGAATTGTAACCTGGAGATATATTGGTTAATTCCTTGCTTTCTAACCTTTATCCGACAACGATATTTTCACATGATGAAGGTTCAGGATGGTTTTTAGGGAATTTAAGGTATTTTTCTGTTTGCCATTTGGGGCCCCTTGGTTCAAGAGTAAAAAAAAGCAAAAATAATTTGGTGATCGAAATGATTAAATAAATGACATGAAAATGGTAAATAAAGAACGAGAAATAAATTGACAGAAATGAAGAAGCAGACGATTAAGAAGAGAAGAGTGTTAAATAAAAGATAAAACTAAAAACCACTAAAGAATATAGCGCACAGTGATTCAAAGGTTGCAAGCTACTCACACAAAAATCGATGAGAATTTTACCAATTACTTCCAAACACTAAAGCTAAAATGTACATGCCTAATGCCACAAAAAAAGTATAAGTGAGTAAGTGAAGTCAAATCATGCAAAGGCCAAAAGTTAAAAATTTGACTCAACCTTTAGTGCAATCTGGATAATGTGACCAGAAAAAAATAAAAAAAATTCGTTTTCCGGGTATTAAGGTTGAAAATCTAAATGATTAAGACATAAGATGTTAAAAGTTAAAAATCGAAGAGAATAAAGTAAAACAGAGTAATTAAAAAAGTCTCACATCTATCTTTGTATATAAAGTTTTAATCCATGTTTGGGTGTCTGTTTGTTTGTTTGTCCGATAACCCAGGAAACCCTGGACCGATTTGCCTCAAACTTTGATTGGGGAACTCGGAAGACCCACGGGAATGTTTGGTTTGAGATTCCAAGTCAAGATTGGGCTGACTTAATAGCGAAAATTTAGTTTGCCGGTAAAATCGTTCAAGTGCGGGTAAACGGCGGGAGTAACTTTTAGTAACCTTGGCAACGCTGGGTTCCAAGTAATACAGTAATACGATATGTATCATCAGCAATAGGTCTAAGACCGATCTTCAGAAGTCAAATTCTATGGGTAGGTAGATAAATAGATAGAAAGATAGATATAAGGATAGATAGATAAATAGATAGATAGAGAATTAAGGAAACTATTTCGTCCTCTTTAAAATTGAAAAGTTTCCCCTGTTTAAATATATATCATCTTCAGCCATATTCAATATATATCTTCTCCAGCCATATTCAATATATATCTTCTCCAGCCATATTCAATACATATCTGCCTTCAAGTTCCGGCTCAAATGCCTTCAAGTTCCTAATCATACTCATACATAATCATACTCATACACAATCATACTCATACAAAATCATACTCATACATAATCATACTCATACATAATCATATTCATACATAATCATACTCATACATAATCTTCTAATCTGCCAGTTTGAGATTCAACCAAGGTACCACCATTGAACAAAGAAATTAAGAAACGACTAAAAAATCGTCATTGATTCTAGGATGAGAAGGAGAATAAGGATGAGAAGGAAAAGAAGGATGAGAAGGAGAAGAAGGATGAGAAGGAGAGGAAGGATGAGAAGGAGAATAAGGATGAGAAGGAAAAGAAGGATGAGAAGCAGAATAAGGATGAGAAGGAGAGGAAGGATGAGAAGGAGAATAAGGATGAGAAGGAAAAGAAGGATGAGAAGGAGATGAGAAGGAGAGGAAGGATGAGAAGGAGAATACGGATGAGAAGGAGAAGAAGAATGAGAAGGAGAATAACGAAGAGAAGGAGAGTAATGATGAGAAGGAGAATAAGGATGAGAAGGAGAATAAGGATGAGAAGGAGAAGAAGGATGAGAAGGAGAAGAAGGATGAGATGAGAAGCATAATTAAAAAGGGAGGGAAGAACAGAAAGGTAGAGGAAGAATAAGATGAGGAAGGAAGAAGAAGATGAGGAAGGAAGAAGAAGATGAGGAAGGAAGAACAGAAAGATAGAGGAAGAATAAAATGAGGAAGGAAGAATAAGATGAGCGTGTAGGTTATAGAAAGAATGACTAAGATTGTGAATAGAATAAAAAGTATAATTCTATTAGAGCACCCACCCCCCCCCCCTCCCTCCCCCACCCCTCCGGATAATATTTTATTAAAAAAGAAACAAGTTTGTTGATCCTCTCACCCTCCCACTCCCCCACCATCCCCTCACTCACCAGCCCCCTTCCATGTCCCCCAGGGTCTCTCATTAGCCCCAGATAAGGGCGACTCAAGAAACACATGAAAATTTAATTCCAAATTTCCTTTCTCAATTTCCCTAGTCTCCAGGAACTCAAGGGAGTGGGGGGGAGAAGAGAGCTGAAATACGGAAAGGGGGTGATGGGTCGAAGAGGGGTTTGGGGGTATAAGACAATGAATTACTAATGAAAAAGTGATATGTTTTTATTCTTTTTATATCAGAATATTTGTCACATTGACTCGAGTACTTAGATTATCATTTGGATGTGCAATGTGAAATTTCTTTTCTTTATTTCAGCTATTAAAAAAAAAAAATTTTCTGAGTTCGGTCCTTTTATTTTAAAGTTAGTGCATCGTTTATTTTTCACAAAATAAACGATTAAGTTTAAGAATTCTTCTCTTGTAAAAAGTAAACTATGTAAGATATTTACAAGATAATTTAAACAATTGTTTGAAAAGTTAATTGAAGTTAAACTAAGACAAAAGTATGTTCGCAGAATCTATATATAAATTTGGCTTGTCTGTCTGTTTGTCTGTCTGTTTGTTTGTTTGTATCCAATAAACGTCAAAACGGCTGAACCGATCGGGCCCAAATTTTTTTGTGGGACATCACGTGACCACAGGGAAGGTTCATGAATGATAAAAATTTAAAAAATGTGTTTTAAAGGTTTTTATTTTGTAAAAAATTTAAATTCTTGAATATCCGCGATTTTTTTTTTTAAATCCGCAAAATTTTTTTCTTCTTTGTTTTAAAATGTAAACAAAAAGAACATGTTCACAATTTAATTAGAAGATGGGCGCGAAGAGCCCTAAAAGCCTAGTATTTGAAATTTAAGTAATACCTGAAGTTTGTGTCCGAACCCTCCCTCCAGCTCTACTCTCTGGTGAAGTAAGTCTGAAACCCAATTACAGTTCGATACTCGTGATGAGAATCATTAAACTAGGCTAAAAACAAGGTTGACTAGCTAGAAGAATAGTTTCTTACTCCAAACCCCTCCCCCCCCCTCACCTAACCCCTAATATCCTCATTCCCCTTTCATTTTACCTCTTTCGTTTCCTTCTTTCACATTCCCGATGCCTTTTTCCCAACCACTTTCCAATCTCTTATGGTTGTACTTCTTTCCCTTCCCCCTTTACCTTGCCCCATCCCTCTTTTTAATTCCCCCCCCCTTCCGCTTTCGTACTTTGCGCCTCTCTAATAAGTTATATTTATTATTTAAAGTAAAACTGTAAAAAGTTTCATGTTAAAGGGGGATTAAACTTTAAAAGAATAAAATTGTTTCTTGTTGATAGAAAAATGTTCCTTGTTTGGAAATTTAAATAATAGATTAATATTATATGTAGGGGTTAAATGCAACAAGACTGAAAACTTAACTGAAAACTAAACTGAAAACTGAACTGAAAACTGAACTGAAAACTGAACTAAAAACTTAACTGAAAACTGAACTAAAAACTAAACTGAAAACTGAAATGAAAACTGAACTGAAAACTGAACTGAAAACTGAAACCAATGTTTACACCACCAGGGTGCAAAGATATAGGGATTAGAATATTTGAGTGTTTCGCAAAAAAAGTTTCTTTACATTTGTCTATCTTTCAACCGATCACTGAGTCTAAGTTTAGTTTAGTGTTTTTTTTTGCAGAATTTTCTTTTAACAACTGTAGATGAATTTTCACGTAAACCTCTTGATAACTGGACCTAGGGTAAATTGAAATTACATCTACTGTCCCTTTAAAGTCAAGAAGTTTCAAGGTGGGCCGGATATTATAATTTCTAGTTGAGGAGAAAACTGAAGGAATGTAGAGGAGAAGATTATCTTGGAAATTTTAATAAATTTTCACGGTTGTCTTATTTACTCATGAATATCTGCAGATATAAGACAAAGGTTGGGGTTGCAAATTCAAATCTTAACTCTTTGGGATTTAAACTTTCACTTTGTCAGAATTATGGACGGCAAAGAGAATTTATTTTAAAAGAACTGAGTTTTTGCCACAAACTCAAATTTTCTAATCCCTATATCTTTACAACTTGATATTGTAAATCTTGGATATTCCAAACTTAGATTATTTGATTAAACAGAATTGATAGTTTGAAATATCTAAGGTTTACGACATCATGGGTTGCACGGCTATAGGGATTAGAAAATCAGACTTTGTGGCAAAAACTCAATTCCTTTTCTGCGTGATTTTAGTGTTAGGGTAAATGCTTTGATCAATATTGGATATAAGGATAGTAAGGAGAGAGATGAAGAAGGTTTTAATAGGAGGCATATGGGGGGGATAGAAGGGATGTATGGTTGGAACAGACTCAGTTTGCCCGCATTTTAATTACTCTCCTCCTTAGTACTGGAGTACTGAAGTACTGAAGTACTGGAGTACTGGAGTACTGGAGTACAGGAGTACCGGAGTACTAGAGTACTGGAGTACTGAAGTACTGGAGTACTGGAGTACTGCATGGAGTACTGGAGTACTGGAGTACTGCATGGAGTACTGGAGTACTAATTAATGTGTTAAAACAAACCAATAAAGAAGTCGTGCAAGTTAGTTGCTATGCATACATTCCTAATAAATATCGATTTGTAATTGATATTAGTTCAACTCAGCAAACTTGTA